CTGGTTACTTTTTTTAAATAAAATAAAATAATGCCTTCTTGATATTCTATCTTAATTCTTAATATGATGATGTTAAGGTTTATAATCGCTAAGCAGGGTCAGGTTTGAAAATATTTTTTAATGTCTTCTTTTTGATGCAAGGGTGAGAAGATGAGTCCACTGACAAAACCGGGGCGAGCAGGTAGGAAATCGATTGTTATTCGATTTCAACCGACCATAATGACGTCCGAAAAATTCCATAATTATTATTAACTTTAAAACAGACAAAAGGATTGAATTCAATATTACACACCTGTCGTATAATCAACGATGGTGAATACATTTTTTTTAAATAATTTTACACGACATTTTCCAGATTCCTTACCAAGCAAGGCATTTTTATAATTATTATTCTTTAGTTTATAGCTTTTTATACCTTGAATAGACCATCTGCCAATTTTTGACCGACTTCCCAAAAGAAGGAGGTATTCAATTCGTCGGTATATTTTTTTTTTTTTATTTTTTTTTTTATGTGTGTTACGGCATAACTCCGCAGCTAGTAGACCGATTTGGATAATTCTTTTTTTATCCGAAAGGTAATGCTTGCAGGTGGGTCCCATTTTTTTGTTTAATTTTTGGAGTCTAAGACTACGACGTAGTTAAATAGTTTAGCTCAAAATCGCGCGACGAAATTTCGGGTCATTTTTGCTTTCTTTGCTTACGTAGCCTAAACTATAAGACTTACATAAAAATGATGTATGGTAGAATTGTAGCCCATTAAATTTGCTAAATAAAAGTCCGCAATAGCATATATCTATCTATTAAGGTTGTCGCACAATAACCACTTTTTTCATCAAAATATCGCTCGAAATCTACACCCAACTTTCAACGCTATTACTCGTGTTCGGTATGAATCCTTATCCAAATAAATGTGTCTATCATCAAGAGAATTTAATGTAGATTATAAATGCCCTTGGAACTATATAATTCCGATCAATAGTTTAGGAGATATCATAAATTACAAATTACGAGTCGCAGAAAAAAATACCAACTTGTAACAAAGTTTGCTTTCTTGGCTTACGCAGCCTAAACTATAAGATCTACATAAAAATGATGTATGAAAGAATTGTAGCTCATTTAATAAGCTATATAAAAGTCCGCGATAGCATATATCTATCTCTTAAGGTTGTCGCACAATAACCGTTTGTTTCGCGAAAACCGTCAAATAAATGCAATCGACTTCCTTAAAACGCTTTTATTCTCATTTCGTATGAATCCTTATCCAAATAAATATGTTTTCACGATAGAGTATTAAATGTAGATCATAATTGCCTTTTACAGTATGTAATTCTGACAAAGATTCTAGAAGTTATCAAAATATTAAAACACACGGGCAACAGCGGCGCGCGGCTGTACAGAATTATGAGTGAATGATCGCAACGATGTATTAGATCTTTACTTAATTTCTTATACAATCGATTTAGATAACTCATTCTTTGTTTGAAAGCTAGTGATTATCATACTGCAATGTTTAGATTCACTAAAAATCAAGAAATAAATAAACTTTTTAATAAAAAAACAAAACCGACTTCCAAACAAAATACACTAAAAACAAAACAAAATGCACTAAAAACAAAACAAAATACACCAAAAACAAAATATTCTCAAAAAAACAGTACACTAAAAAGTAACGAAATAATTTCTTGAAAATAGTAAACCTACCTTATTGTAACTGTTATGTCTATATTGTACAATTATTTTTACTTTGAAGTCGGTGTCAGTCAATGTAGATTCATTACTTAATTGTTACTATACTTTCAATTGTCAATTGTTATGGTAAAAATGTGGAAACCCTTACGTAGAAATATCTCTGGATACCTTGGCTGACACCGACATCAAAGTAAAAATAATTGTACAATATAGACATAACAGTTACAATAAGGTAGGTTTACTATTTTCAAGAAATTATTTCGTTACTTTTTAGTGTACTGTTTTTTTGAGAATATTTTGTTTTTGGTGTATTTTGTTTTGTTTTTAGTGCATTTTGTTTTGTTTTTAGTGTATTTTGTTTTTATATAAATCGTCAGACTATCTAGTATCGTTTCAATCTCGTTAAAAAATACAATTCACTAGGTTTCGCCTGCGACTCCGTCCGCGTGGAATTAAATAAAATGAAAGCGGGTAGCCTATGTGTTCTTCCAGACTATCCTCTACGTCTATGCCAAATTTCATCAGGATCCGTTTAGCAGTTTCGGCTACAAACTCTTACAAATATCCATCCATCCATCAAAACTTTTACATTTTTTATAGGTATGATTATTCACATACCGTGAGCTAACGATGTTGACATCTACGTTACTGAGCTAACACGATTGAGCCGAGCCGCGAGTGAATTCTGAATTGTAATTTGATTTCCAATTGTAGCGGCGGAATTAGGTTTGGCGCAGTTTGCGGTTATCGCGCTCCATTCCCCCACATTCTGGCAAACGACGGGATGAGCTCTCACGTGAGATACTAAATATATCTACTATTTTTTAGACAAACTCTTTAAACCTAATGAATAATATGTTAATATTTATATCCTAATAATTAGATGACAAAAAGACTGAATAGCTCTGGATGAAAATGTTTTAAACGAAATCTATAGTTTACTAACTGAAGCTCACGACTTCGTACACGTGAAATTTTAAGCAAAAAAATTCAGCCTTTGTTACTCAATCAGTATCATTTTTGGTAATCGGCCCAGTAGTTTTTAGGTTAATTCAATACATACATTAATTTAAAAATACAAATTTTTCCTCTTCAATACATTAGTATAGATGAAATCTTTACTACTTTCAAAAGCATATAATAAAAGAAAAATATACGGCGAATAATTAGCTTTTAATATATATTTAAATAACTTTGTCTGAAATTTAAGATCTCTTCGTATCTCCTAGATATTCAGCTAGTTTTGATCAACTTACAAATTATATCTTTCTTTTCATAGTACTGTTTAATGTAAAAAGAGGAAGCTTGTTAACCGATGGCCATAGACACAGACCACCGTGCCTGTGTTTACTGAAACCAAACACTTCGAATATTAGTGACGTCACATAATATATGAGACACACGCACACACATAAATGAGACCAATAAAACAAAAGTAAACGAAAAAATACCATCAGTATGAAGTGCAAGACAAATTACGTATCACCCAAGTATTTAAAACCGCAGACTGTATTTAACGTATGAATAATTATTTTTAAAAGTTTGTTGGACAATTTGTGGTCCAGTCGAAAGTTTTATTGTTAGGGTTATACAATTTTGTTCCTTATGACTCACATGATAAGGTTTAATGTAGCATGCGTGTAATGCCTCAGTTGTAGTGGCCTGCAACTGATAGTATCGACATCGCCCCACGAGGAGCAATGGGCTCGTCCTATGGGTGAGTAGAGCGCGATCCGGCACGCACTACTTTTCAAAACATATTTAACATTTTCATTTCCTTGTATTTATTTAACTTAAAATTAAATAAATAAACAATATTGAATACATGAAAATGTACAATATTTTTACAAAGTAAAAAATTATAATATGACGTCTTCATATCTTGAATTGTTAATTGCTCACCTAAGTTCCTAGGTTCAGATAAAGTACCAATAATCTACACTAAAGGGCTTAAGTAACTATTTAAAGTGTTTAAGAGTATTTGGTTACTAGTATGTGGCTTATAAATATTGCTTTTTGAGGCCACATTCCATTTTAAAATTTTCAAATCGACTGAATAAAATGTTCTGTAAGTGGCGAGCCGGATCGCGTTCCGATCAGACAGAAGAAAGTACGTCGGGCGCGGGATGATAGCGGCGGAGGCTGCGACCGGCCTGACCGGTTATGCTAAACCCCATTGTGGTCACTTTTTGTACCCGGCACCCCCTCCCCTCGATCGCCGCACCCCATACCCCGCATCGCTCAGGACACCTCATCGCAAACGTTCCGCGAACGAATAAAGAGTTCGATATGCCAAAAAATAATCAAATCGTAAAGTTTTTTAGGTTATAAAAATTCTTATAACGTTAAATTAAATACATAAAATTTTCTCATATGATATCGGTATCTTGCATGGTCTCGTTTATGGCAACCACCTTCTTGTGTCGGTTCTCTAAATTGGTAAAATACATATGATAATTCTTGTAGGGATGAGAAAATCGGAATAACCTCAAATCATCCTCGTGGAAGTAAAATATATGATGTCAATTTACATACCTCCTGTAGTACCAGTCTTTTTAAAATTAAAAATGTTCCCACTAATGATGATGAGTTTTTTAGACTTTGTGGCTTTTTGGATTAAAATTTTCCTTACAATATTTAAACTACGACAATAAACAGACGTCGCTACGAAACCATTTTGATATTTATTTTTTCGAACGGTTCAAAAATATATTTTTTTGATGTGACCATTATTGACTATACTGAAGATCAACTTGAAAATAGGAAATGTTTCGGTAACCATAATTTATTTCAACTAATAGAATAAAATGAAGCGACTTTTCGACCTTAATAGCAACTGCACTTACAGCCGCTCTCAATAACGAATGATCGATGTCCCGATCGATGCAATCCAAGATCGATTCGATCACGAGATTTATCCACAATCTGCGTCTCAATGACAACAATCGAATAATGCCAGTCAATTTTTAAAAGAGATTGGAGATCGACCACATCTTGGTCTATCAAAGGTTACTGCGAATATCACGGAAAAATAATATCGCACATTATTTAAGCTCATTGAAATAGCTACTATTATCGCCATCTAGTTTCATGTCCATGAAGGATTTTTTCTTTGTTAACATTTCTCCATTCTTAATACTAATGTACTTAATTTTTTTGTACCTTTAAATTAGCCTTGAAGTGTGCGCAAAGTTAACGCACCCAAAATAATTTAATAACTAATGTAATTAAAAAATAACATTCGTCTATAAAATAAAAAACATTTTGTGTATCTGTGGTTAAAGTCATAGACAAGCGTACGTATTTTTTTGTCGTGTTCGAACAGTGCGTGATCTGTCAAAAATGTCTTTTTGACGGCGTTTGCCGATGAAGTTATTTGAAAAATATAGATTTTACTTAAGATGGGAGGCTCCCAGAGTACTCGAAAAATAAGTGTTGATAACGAAAATGCTATACAAGTTTCTCAGGAAGCAATAGACCGTATACAAGAGCGGCTGGCTACTAAAGTAATTATGTTTCTACATTACATAATTTTATCAATGTCACGAAGCGCTCAATCAAAATATTAAGTTTTCTTCAAATAAAGTTCGTACATAAACAACCCAGCTATAATACTTTAACTTCATTTACATGTTATTTAACATTTAATACGACTCAAATACTTATAGGTTAGAAACTCTTTAGTTCTGTATTTTTAATGCTCAATGTAATTTTCATAATTTGCTATGACCTCATGATAAGGCATTATTTTCAGTTGCTCTGATTACTCGTTTTTAACAAAACTCTGGTGTTATTCGTATCTAAAATAGAAAAATAGAAAATTTAGAAAATAATTAAAGAGCCATGTAAGAACATAGATCTACAGTGTGTAAATTAATATCCAATTTTACAGTAATTAAATAATTAGTAATCAAACAACATTTAGCTTCTTTCCAGATTTACAGAATAAAACAATTTAGAAATATATGGTGCACTTAACATTTAATTTAACGATGATTGGTTTTGTTTATAGTACATAAAACAGGCTTGTTACATGAAGTAAACATACTATTTGTATTTTCCAGCAAGCTGAACAACCTCAACCACCTCCTCAATACATACCGCCACCAAATTACGAGTCCCAGCAACGTCAGAAAGACTTTGCTGCTGAAGAGGCTTACTGGGCGAGGCGAATTGAAAACCTAAAAAGGACACACGAAAAAATAAATAGCGGGATGCATTTGGAATATCAAAAAACATTAAAAGAAGCCAATGAGCTGTTCAATCTAGTGCAAGAGGACAAAATTGCCAATAAATTACCACCATGTCAGGAAGAAAAAGCAAAGGTAAATAATTTTATGTTCTTCCTCATACCTCAAGGATAGTGCCACTGAGAAACTATAGCCCCCTTCATACATTCAGTTATGTGGGTTTTAACTGTTTTTTTTTAACTAAATAGTTGAACTGAGCAAGTGTAGCAAGCATGACACTAATAATAAAATTTACTAGCATGAAATCAATTAAAGAAGCATCTCTTTACAACAAAACCAAGTTCAAAATAACTATGTATTAAATCTTACAAATAATGTTGACATTTTTCCCATTCCCAAACTCAAATTAAAGAAACGGTGCTGGAGTTTATTTTTCGTAATATTACCACATGTTTTGTTTATACACTTAACTATTAAATAATGATTTAACCTCTGATTTAATGTGTTTGATACTTTCAGGTTCTAGAATGCTACAGTTCCAACCCCAACAAGTCTTTAGTGTGTTCAGTGATAGTGAATCAATTCAATGACTGTGTATGTAAGAGTAGAATTGCTGCGGTGTCTGCAACCTCCTAGATGGCGCTATTGTATATAATTGGGGATCACAATAGACAACATGCATCCAGCCGAGCCTCACAAAGGCTAACGTAGATATAATTATTATTATTGCTGTATGAATAAACTGGTTATCTTATCTTATTGTTTGTCTTATTAGCAGTCCAAAAAACATTTTTGATATTACTCAGTTTGATTATCACAAATGTAATTTTTTTAAATAAATATTTGTATTCCAGATAAGTAAAAATGCAATGATGATGCACCTGTCCAATTTAAAAAAATAAAATTTGTTTGCTATCAACATCTTTTAGCAAAACAAAAGTTTTCATTTTATAGGATGGACCTTCTCTTCCATCTTTTAAATAACCCACCATTATTTTAGGACAAGGAGTTATACTAAAATTAACTATATATTTAGGTTAAAACAGATTTATAATAATACTGATAGATTTTTACAAATTACATGTAAAAATCAAACAAATTGTATTTGTTAATATAGTTTTCCTTATTTTGTAATAATAAAATTAATATATTAACTATAATAATAAAAGAGCTTTTTCTATAATACTTCAGTAAAAGGGAAAACAATTATTAACCTCATTACAAAAGTGAGATAGTTAACGTTAGTTTAACTAAATATTTTCTACTTAACATAAATGTTCAAGTTGGAAGGCATACATATCCACCATTATTTTCAATAACAGTTGATAAACGCTTCTTCATAGATCCAATTAATTGCTGACAGATCTCAGTGCCACGGAAATCTTCCCAGATTTTATGACAATGATCAGTAAGGGCTTCTTTAGTGGTTTCTTTCTGATTGTTCCATCGTTGCACTATTGCACCCCAAATGTCCTCAATAGGGTTCAAATCTGCACTTTTTGCAGGCCAAGGAATACGTTTTAAATGTGTTCCATTACTTTCAAACCAATTTTGTACAGTTTTAGCATTGTGAATAGTATTGTGTTGCACAATATTAATTGTAGGGAACTCTTGCTGTGGAAAATAAATTCGTAATGTAGGCAGAACACTTTCTTCAAGTAAATTGACATATTCTTGTGCTGTTGCTCCAGGTGTCAGGTTCACAAGTTCGCCCACACCAGCCGAACATATCCAACCCAATATGTTTGAAGTGATTGGATCACAAGAATCATCTGTTATCACATTGTCTTCTGTCAATCGTGTCCTATCAAACTGCCATAAATGTAATCTACCTGATTGGGTACCTGAAAATGTCATTTCATCAATAAATACTGTAGACGACCAGTCAAAATGTAAATATTGGCGAGCGAAGTTGAGTCTGGCGGTTTTTTGATCCTTTGTCAAAGCAACATTTTTTGGAGGCCAACGGTGATGAAAACCCATGTTACGTAGGCAGTTTCTTATTGTCCTAGGGTGTACGTCAAACATTTCCGCAAACTGTGATGTTGGTGTATAGCCATTTAAAATGTATTGCGTCTGCATTATACGACGTTCCTCTTCTGATATAATAGACGGCCGATGATTATTTTGCCTCAGGTCCACAAGAGTTCCTACAGATTTGTATCGCCGAATCCAACGGCGCACCGTCTCTCTTGACACACTTAACCGCCTTGATATCTCACGAATGCCTACATCTTGCTTATGTAACTTTACTATTTGAGCTCTTAATTGTTTGTTATTAGGAGGCATTTTATTATTAAAGATTAAAGTGATATTCTAAAACAAAACATCTTTTCACTTCTCGCAATCGACATGACTTTGACAATTGAGATTGTGAATCTGTCATTGTCATGCGCTGAAATTGATATTTTCGTTACCATGGCAACATGCTTCACAAACATTCAGAAATGATAAACATTATTTAAAATTCCTTTGCCACTACTTTATACAAGTGTTTTAGTCCTAAAAGCTAAAAATGATGAAAAACACTGATTCGGTTAATCCCCCTGAGAAAAAAAGAAGAGTTCCCTTATATCCAGGATTCCCTGAATTGGCACGTTCTGATGTCAGCATATATCCCAGCTACACGAAATTGTCTCTAGCATAGTAAGTACATTTTACATTAAAAAAGTATCACAGAAAGTGACCAATATAATGAAATAAGTCTAATTTAATCAAGAGTAGCACACCAAGGAAGGATATTAAATGAAAAGCAAACGTTTCGTTTCAAGGAAATATATTTTATTATTTCCTATTATTTAAAAATGACCTGGACACCTACCCCACACTTACATGTCTTTATTTTTTCTACAATTTACAAATTAATACTCGTCAGTTAATATTATGTAAAACGCCATTTGCCTGTTTATTTTTTACACTTTTTCCTTTCAGTCTGGTTGTTTGCCGTCATCGCTATCATTGGGCTAAGGTAGCACAACATAAGCAGTTTATGCAGGAGTTGCACAGTTTTGAACGGTTACAACCAAATGCCTTAGATGGCGTAAGAGTGCATCGGGAATTCTCTCAAGGCATATTGTCACACAAGATTCCATCCCGACGGTACATACAAAAGCTGTCTGTAGATCCATTAAACTCAAGGCAAAGGATGCGCGTTGAGGAAATTATCAGTGGAAGGGTTAAATTTGGTTAAAGCAAATCTCAACTTGTTTGGTTCCATAGTTTTTAGTGCAATTTATTAAACAATAAGTGTAAGAAAACCTGTTATAAGAAAAATAAACTGTGAAAAATACAACTACTTTCTGAACCATAAATATAAACATTCTGACAGCTTAATTTATCCTAACACTTCCACCTCATCCTCTGCCAGCCTACCCCTCCACACTCATACTAGATCTAAAGTATCCCTGATTACATAAAAAAAAACCATGGAATTGTGATAAAATAATAAGATCATAATTTTTATAACAATGATGTTTATTCGGCAATTTCCATAGCTTTCTTACGTTTAATTTTCTTACTCTTCTCAACATTGTTCTGTAGGAAGTGTGCCTCTTTCTTAGCCTGTGATATCTCAGCTCGGAGCCTTTGTTTCATGGCGGCCTTCTCATATGCCAATCTTTCACTAAGATGCACCCACTTGAACCTGGGTATATATTTTATATTCCATATCATGTCGTAATACCGTGACTTCTTTCTTGTACCAATTTTAGCATTATTAAGATTAACTGCAACTTGTTTAGCAATCTTTTTCTTTTGGAACTCAACCCAGCCTTCCGAGAATTGGTTTGGTACACGCTTACGTTTTTCACCTGGTTCTGTAAAGACAGATCACAGATTATCAGACTACAAGATTGTTAAAATAGGAACAAATTGCACATAAATGTACATGGAATACTTTAAAACTATGTTGCATAGTGAGCAATTAATTATATGCTAATAGTGTCGAACAAACTCAGGATTAAATCAACTCTTCTATGGATGAAATAAAGTAGAGAGATCTAAGAATTTTTTTGTGTTTATTTACTATTTTTTTTTTTGTTTGTCAAATATATAACTTACAATGGTACCTTTTTTCTTTTAATTTGAGAGTTTCTTCTTTTAGACATTTACATGGAAATAAAAAAAAGATACGCTAGTAATTTCTTTTTTATATACTAGTCATGCAGCACTTAATAATTTATCGTAACCTTATTACTTACTTGTTGTCGGCTGAAGATATATCCTACCAATCTCGCCGTATTGACTAAAAATTTCTCTTATTTTCGCAACATTCATGTATGGCGGTATTGTTGATAAGTAAATGATTCCACGTTTCTTTTTCTTCTTCTGGAGGATGTTTATTTTGGAGATATTTTCATCGCTTGCCGATTCGCATTCGGATCCATTTTCAGGGACCCTAACAGTATCCGCATCGGGCATCTTCAATACTATTCTTTCAATACCGAATTAATAAATAACGATTATAGATACTAGATATAGCTACATGAAATTTTTCCACATAACCAAAAATATTAGCCACATGAAAGTGACAGCTGAAAGTGACGTATGTCTTCAAAATGAAATGTAAATAAACAGTTAGAAATCAGTATTTAAAAAACAAACCCTGGCCTCTGTTCTATATAAAGCTGCTGTAATTTTACTCCCAATATTTTAAAATACTTGATCGTTTTTAGATCTGCCTTCACTTTATGCCCGATTTACACTTCGCCAGTACAGTCGGGCACTTGCGTCGGCCAGTCAATGATTGTAGGGACTAACTGGTGCCATTCAGCGTTGCTATTCAGTTGAAATTCAGTCTAGATTGTGCGTTCTAGTTAACTGTACCGGCCAAGTGTGAACCGCGCATATCTCTATTTGTTTATTGTCTGAGTCTGATCGCCATCTTTGCATCATGTGTCATAGTGGCAGGAGAGTGTTGTCAATGAGTCAATGTCATTGTTTTGTTTAATGGGTTGTGAGTGCAACGAAAGTATAATTGTTTGCTGATTTACTTGATATAGATTCTTGTGTTTATAAAATATAATTAACTGATAAAATGGGTTGTGATGGTGGCACCATACCTCGTCGGGACGAGCTCGTCCGTTTGAAAAAGAAACCAGAGCAGGTACGAAAACTCGTATTAAATCATTTAAGTGCTTTTATACAGGTTTTAATACTTATTTGTATTTCAGAAAGATAAAGACGCCGAACGTGCCTTCAAATGGCGTAATTGTGCCCTGTCTCAGCAACCTTTGCAACAGCCTATAGTTGCATGTGGCTTAGGTCGATTGTACAGCAAAAGTTCCGTTTTGGAGTCCTTGTTAGATAAAGAAACGAAGCCAGAATCTATAGCTCACATTAAAAACATGAAGGTAAGAAATAAGTAACTAGTTTTAGTAAAAAGTTAAGGATAATCTGCAGCATTAGTCAAATAGTGTTTTCCACTTTAATATTTTTGTACAATAAATAAATCAAACTTCTAGGATATTAGAGACCTAAACCTGACAAAGAACCCAGCATACACCAATGCAGAGCACACTGAGGGTGCTGTAGGTGATGGCAGCGCACCTTTTATCTGCCCCATCAGTGGTCTGGAGATGACGGGCAAGTTCCGCTTCATATTTCTGTGGAGCTGTGGCTGTGTGCTAGCTGAGCGTGCATTGAAGGAAGTTAAGCAAAGTATTTGCCACATGGTGAGATATTATCTATACTTAATAGTCTTAGAGTGTGTCCAAACTTTTGACTAAACTATCACACAAATGTTTAATCTTGCTTTAATTGCTATAAGCTTATATGGAGATGCCCCTAAATTTTTAGTCATTAGTTGAATTAGCTATGAAATAATTGACAATCAGACAACAGTTGTGCGTTAGTTTAGTCATAGATGTGTGCCTGCTCTAAAAGTTGTAATAGAAAAGAAAAAAACATGTATTTAAGTACTTGTCTTAAAGTATGTATTTGTTAAACATTATGTTTGCAGTGTCAAAAACCATTCACGGATAATGATGTTGTTGTGCTAAATGGTACAGATGAGGATATAGAGCTGTTAAAGGAAAAAATGTCTGTTCGTATTGCAAACAGAAAAGGTAAAAAGATAAAAATTGAAAAAATTGATAAGGATGCCAAACCAGAAACTGTCACATCTGAAAGTTTAAATGAATCATCCTTACCTGAAACAGAAGTGAAAAATGAAAAAGACCAACAAGAAGCTGGCTGTAGTAAAGCTTTAAAAAAAGAAATGGACACAATACCATTGTCTCTGCCCAAATTCAATCCAAACAAACAACCCAGAGGTCACTTTGGATCATCAAAGAGAGCATTACCGTCTGGTCTTGTTGATGACCCCTCATACAAAAAGACCAAGAAGGACTATAGCATAGCTAAAGACCCTCAAAGCACCGAAGTGTACAAATCTATATTTACATCGCATAAAACTGAGCAAAACCAACAAAGGGCACATTGGGTTACTTACAACCCATTTTATAATTAGTTTTTTATTTCAATAAATTTTCTTAAGCATTTCAATTAATGTTATTAATAATTTTAATGGATAAATAAAACAATATTTTCTATTTGCGTCTATTTTATTTGAATAAATATTGCACTAGTACAAATACAAATTATCTAAATGGAATTTTCCTATTGGTATAATTTTTTTTATATGTCAGATAAAGTGATACATGATAAATAAAAAACTGTTTTTTGAAATCAGCATTAAGTGGTTTTATTTCCCCGTGTCCCGCATTTGGGGTGTATCATTGGTTAATGTTGGTGCACCCTATGCTTTCAATACTGTGGGCTTAACCACACCTAGAGTAGATACCATATGTACTTGTAATAACAAATGGTAACTTATAATGGAAAACATCTGTCAAATTAAATCAGTTTTGATGATCAAGTTTACATTAATATTGAAATGTCAATTTGTGATGTGAATCTTACGGTAAAAAATTTTATTTATACAAACTTGACTTGGTAAAAATTTTGTGCCTTTATATACTAGATATTTGTAACTATAACAAGCAAGTAAATACTTACAACACTAAGAGATCATATCGGAATGTAAATAGAAATAACAATGTATTTGAATAAATTATAATAACTTATTTTAGTACAATGAAAAAGAGAAAATTCATAAATAAGTCAACAACAAATACAAACTGGACACTTTTTCTGTGGAATACCTATTTTGGCATATTTTCTTCAACCTGACTTCGCTAATATTTCTATTCGCAACTACTTCAACTATTATTATAAAAAGTTAAGTTTTGTTACCACATATTTTAATGATTTACTTATAGATACTCGATAGATACTAACGTTAACTGGGTATCCTAGTTATGTAGGATGTGAAGCTCGGTACTTGTACAAGTTCTGAGCAGTTTGTTGCTGTACGGAGGCGAGGGTGGCTTCTATGATAAGGTTGAAGTCCAGCTCGTTGAGGCTGGCCTTCGCCGTCAGCAGGTCCAGGAACGTGTCCAGCGGGGACAGCCGTTCGCCTGACGGTAGCGCTGCTAAACCACCTGGGTAACAGTAAGTTTTAAAAAATGATATCAACTTAGGTTATGCTGTCGTCATGCTCATTACGTGGAGAGTGACTTACAACACAAAGAAATGGATGAAATAACTTGTAGGGAACCGAAATTGTTAGAGCTGAGCCGAAATTGGCAAAACCGCGCCTCCCGTGTTTTGGCCCCTATAACCCGAGAGCCATGGTTGGTGATGGGCTGGTATGCTCCCAGCCCCTTAGTGGAGACGAATAGCGGTGTGTCCGCCCATCAACACCCATGGGCCTACCGACCCTCGGGTCATTTGGGCTGAATCCCGGTAGGGGCGTGCGGTTTGGCCGGTTTCGACTCCGCACGCACCTTCTTGACTCCCGTCGGGTATGCATGGTAGGTGTAGTGTAGGTGGCATGTGGTGGTAGGTGTTGATAATGATAGAGGAATGTGTAAATCTGTGAGCTGTAAGTGTGTGTGTGTGTGTACCGGTGTCGCGCAGCGCGGCGTGGCGCAGGCGGTCGTGCGCGGCGCAGTGCCCGCCGCTGAGCAGCGCGCCGGCGTGGTCGCGCGCGCGCAGCTGCAGCGCGGCGCAGTGCTGCCAGGCGGCCAGCGCGCGCCGCCCGCGCGCCTCGCCCGCCACCTGCACCAGCCGCAGCTTGTTGTTCACGCCGCGCTTGCCCTCCTCCTCCTTACCTGTACGACCGCTAATGTTTATTCTCTAATAAAACTAGCATCTTTTAAACCCGTTTTTAGGTACCTGTCGCATTTACACCTCATGATTTTTTTGCATTCTAGCCCTTTAACATTATATATCTAAAGATTTTTTTAATAAAAAACTACTTTTCTCCACGACTTTGTCCGCGCTGATCCAATAAAGATATTGAATAAGCAGCCTATGTGTTCTCTCAGACTATGCTCTACATTTGTGTTAAATTTTATGGGGATCTCCATTAAACCATGGAGATATGTAGTAGCAAACATCCATCCATACTTTGCATTTGAGGTGACCGACAATCAAACTAGGTGACCGACAGCTCTAAAAACCACATAGTGTAGTCATTAGTTCATAACTGTAACATAAAAACTTACCAGTAAGTATAGCTTTGAGGACGTCGATCTGCAGCTCAAAGACGTTGCGGTGCAGGCGCTGCATGAAGGCGTGGTGCGGCAGCGCGCGGCGCCCCAGGTACGTGAAGAAGGAGCTGAAGCCCGCGGGCAGCGGGAAGGCCGCGCCCTCCGCCGCCAGGTAGTACTGCTCCAGCACGCTGAACGACACCAGCGCGTGCGTCGGGTCCATCTCATCCCTAACATCATACAACACTAAACTATGGTCCTGAGTGATTTTTTTTCAACTGTCCCTCACGGTGGTTTATGAGTGAATATAAAATGTGACCTAAAATGATAAAATTAATGCTGTATGAAACCAATTACTACAGTTTAGTTGACGTCCATGGACGTAGTCAAGAAATGCAGAAGGAAATACGCCTAGTCTTTAGAAACTACAAGGTATAAAGACTTTATTTATTCTCGAAGGGACAATTTACAAAGTAAATGTGAGCGGAGTGTTTTAGTGTTCTTAAAAGAAAAGCTTATGAAAGGCTTTCAAGTATTTTTCACAACTTGAATACTATATCTTAGTTAAGGGTAATTTAGATGTTAAGTCGATTTTACATTATTAGAATAAGTTGGAAAATGATTTAATTATTTATAACTTTTAGTAATTGTTACATGTACGTGTTTAGTATTCTTTATTTAAATGTTAATTAAAAATTTAAATTTTATGAACAGTTTAAATAGTTACAAAAACATTTTTAAAATACACACTTGCTACACTTACCTTAAACATTTAAAGCGACACAAATAGTTTTCGATGGTAAGAATACAAAAAAAACTACACGAAAACCAACAAAAAATCACCTACGCTAAGTGATGAATCCAAGCAAAGTGAACCCAAAGGTAAATTGAAAACAAAACCTAAAACAAACGAAAAATCATCCAACAAACCAAACATCAAATGAATTTGTACTGCGGCGAAAACAAAACAAGCTGAGCGGACCCAACAACAAGCTATAAACGACTGCAATCAAAAAGAAACAAACTTTTAAAAGACCAGCTATAATAAGAATTTTATTTTCATGTAAAAATCAATAAAATATTCCCTTTATAACTGTTCTTAATTACAAGTCCGCTATAAATACAAAACCAAACGTATAAAAAGTTGAGGTGGATCCAAATGGGAGAGTCGTACACTAGGGAGAAGCCGCGCAGGTGTGAGTAGGGCAGGGCGCAGGCGCGCGACGCCGCGCGGCACAGCGAGCGCGCCGCCTCCAGCT